TCTCTTGACCTCGTGATCCACCCGCCTCTACTAAAAATACAAAAAACATTAGCTGGGCATGGTGGTGCGTGCCTGTAATCCCAGCTACTCAGGAGGCTGAGGCAGGAGAATTGCCTGAACCCAGGAGGCGGAGGTTGCGGTGAGCCGAGATCGCGCCATTGCACTCCAGCCTGGGTAACATGAGTGAAACTCCGTCTCAAAAAAAAAAAAAAAAAAAGGCATGAAGACCTCAGCTAGGACAGAGGCAGTGGTGGTGACGAGAATGAGGCTGCCTCAAGGGCTCTCCAGAGGTGGGAGCACCAGAGCTTGACACCTGATGGGATGGATATTATCCATCCATTCAATCCAGTGCCACAATATCATCCATCCAATACCAGGGGCATGAGGAATAGGAATCCAAGAAGATGCTCAGATTTCTGATGGTTGTCTGGATACACAATGAAGCTACTAATCAGGATGTAGGATACAGATCAACCCACACTGATTCACGGTTTCGGGCCCCAACTCAGTGCCCCACTGTGTTCTTAGTATTTCTTCAGCCGCCAACATACAGGCACTTCCTCCATGCCAGCCCACAGGCAGCTGCAGCATCAGCTGCTCTCGTCCGACCCAGGCAGAGCTGGACACTCTCTCGTCTCTGCCCCAATGCTTATTCAGACACTTCTCTCTTAGCACTTCCCTGTGTTTTGCAATCACCTGTGCTTTACTGCACTCCCTGAGAGAAGGATTTGTCTTTTCCATCCTTATATCCCTTGACCCTGGCACATATTAAGTGCTCAATACATGTTGGATGAAAAATGGGTGAACAAAACAGCAACCTCTCTCTACCCATCATCACAATTTCTGGTGGTCAGGAATATTCTATTTCCCACCTGCAGACTTTCCTCAGGGCCTATTATGCGTGTTTGTCTGTGCAAAAGGCCACCTCAGTCCCTGGCTGTAGCAGGTCATTCTGGGCTGCTGGAATCCTGGGAGAAAATAGTCACAGCAGGAAGGCAGGAAGGAATGCGTAATTACCTTTGGAAGGGTGTTCTGGATGGAGCAGTCGAAAATAGTGGCATAAGGAAATCTTCCTCTACATTCTACTAAAAATACAAAAAAAAAAAAATAGCCGGGTGTGGTGGTGGGAACCTGTAATCTCAGTTATTGGGAGGCTGAGCATGAGAATCACTTGAACCTGGGAGGCTGAGGTTGCAGTGACCTGAGATCATGCCACTGCACTACAGCCTGGGTGACAGAGCAAGACTCCAGCTCAAAAAAAAAAAAAAAAAAAAAAAACCTGTTTAATATGTGATATAATCCTAGTTTTGCCTATATGTCTGTGTATATACCTATATGGTTATGTGTCTCTATATACATATACATATATAGATAATACACACACAGTCAAGACAGAAATAAAATATATCAAAATGTTAACAGGAGGCCAGGCATGCTAGCTCACTCCTGTAACCCAGCACTTTGGGAGGCTGAGGAGGGAGGATTACTTGAGTCCAAGAGTTCAAGACCAGTCTGGGCAATGTGGCAAAACCCTGTCTCTGCAAAAAATACAAAAATTAGCTGGGTGTAGTGGCATACACCTGCAGTCCAAGCTACTCAAGAGGCTGGGGGAAAAGGACCACCTGAGCCTGGGGAGGTCGAGGCTGCAGGGAATCATGATTGCACCACTACACTCCAACCTGGCTGACAGAGTGAGACCAAAAAAAAAAAAAAAATGTTAAAAGGTTATATATGTTTGAAGTTTTCCAAAATAAAAAGTTAAAAACTATGTTAACATGGAGATGGCACTGTGAGTATATTTTTCTTCTTTGTGATTTTCCCATTATCTAAAATATCTACAACTTTTTTTTAGGCATCAGGATCTTTATGTACCCACATTCCTGCTTTATTTTAACATTATAAACATTAGAGGCCAAATTATTCTCTTTTTGACCCAGGTTGTGATGGGAACCATCTGGTTACAAAGTGGTAGCAGATCGATGCCTGCTTTTATGTTTTTCTGGCCCCTCTCAACCTCTGACTGTCACTTCTCTGTTCTTTCTCAGTTGCCCCTTAACAGTCTATTCTAGCCCCTGTAAAACAAGGACTAAAAGTACTAACCTCGTTGTTATGAGGTTTAAGAGAAGGCCAGCACTAAGCCAAGCTCTCAGGAAAATTCAAACAACAGCTTCTCTTTGCCCTTCAATATAGCTCCTCATCTCTCGTGGGCTGAGGAACCACCAGACCCGTAAACCAAATATACAGATCTAAGTCCACAGACCAGGTGAAGGCCTAGATGACAAAATACATGGGCTTTGTGACTCCACTACTGACTTCGAGGCTAAGGAAGGACTGACTTAGTGAGCAGTTCCAAGACCAGTGAGTTCATGGTTCCCTGTGGCTGGTACCTCCATTGTGACCTGGACTTGAGAAGGGGCCCCTCAGTTCCTGCTGCCACACTTGGAACAGTATGAGGGCTGCAGCAGAGGCCAAACACTGAGTGACCAGCCCTAAAGAGTAGATGGGGACACTGACAAACCAGTCACAAAGTTGGTGCCGTTTGCTCTTAGGGAGGAAAGGCAGGACCTGGGCAAGGACAGCAGTTGGAAGGTGAAGCCCAGACCTGGCTCTCAGTAGCAGTCGTGATCCAGCTTGAAGGGGCCATCACGGGACATGCCCAGGCAGTGGGCCTGCTTCTCAGTCAGCTTGGCCAACTTCACGTTCAGCTTGCCCAGGTGGGCTTCAGCCACTGCCTCATCCAGCTTCCTGGGCAGGAAGTGAACCCCAACAGGGTACTTGTCTGGGTGGGTCTACAGCTCGATCTTCGCCATCACCTGGTTGGTGAAGGAGTTACTCTTCAGGAAGCTGGGGTGGCCCATGGCACAACCCAGGATGACCAGCTGACCCTCAGCCAGCAGGATGATGTGCCGCCCATTCTTCAGCCGGTACCAGTGCACCTGCGGCTTGAGGGCTTGATGTTCACCTTCTCCACAGCGTTCTCGTTGAGCCACTTGACACTGATGTCCATGTCCAAGTGTCCAGTGTTACACACGATGGCAGCATCCTTCATCTGGTCAAAGTGCCAGCCAAGAAAGATGTCCTCCTGACAGTCCTCATCCAGGGCGGTCACCTCATAGCCCTCCATGGCAGCCTGCAGCGCGACAGTGCGCCGATGGGGTCCATCTCAGTGACGACGACGCGGGCCCGAAACCCCACAGGCCTGGGCCCAGCCCTCGCCCACACCGCCATAGCCTGCTACCACGGCTGCCTTGCCGGCCATCATCACGTCTGGGGCCCGCTCGATGCCGTCTCCGAGGGACTCCCGGCAGCCACGGAGGCTGTCAGATCTGCTCTTGGTGACGGAGTCGCTGACGTCGATGGCAGGGCCTTCAGGATCCCACTGGCCGCCATCTTGCGGCGCTCGTGGACCCCGGCCGTGGTCTCCTCGGAGACGCCTCGGATGCCCGGCAGGAGCTGCGGGCGCGTGGTGGGGATGCGGTCGTGAGGTCGCCCCCGCCATCCCGAAGCCTGCTGAGGGGCCCGTCCTCGAAGCACGGCGCTGCTCAATGCACCACAGGTACTCCTCGTCCGTTCCGCCCTTCCAGGCATACACTGGAATGCCAGCCTTGGCGATGGCAGCCGCCGCATGGTCCTGGGTGGAGACGGTGTTGCAGCACCCAGGGTGACGAGAGTCTCCGTGGGGACCGCCGCCTCCGCGGCGGGTGCAGGCAGCCAGCGAGGCGGGCGCCCTCCAGCGGCATGGAGGCCGAGCCCCGCTCTCGCATGCGCAGCAGGCCCCGCACACGCATGCGCAGCAGGCCGCGCATCGCCCCGCCCTCCGTGCCCACAGCCGTGCGCCCCAGGCAGCCGGGCCGATGCCAGGGACTTTGCAGGGCAATCTGTCGGACATGCCGCGGCGCGGGCGATGCGCACGGGCGAGGGGCTGGGCCTCAGTCTGGGAACAGGCACTGCGCGGGTGGCGCCGGGCCATTTTAATGGGATAAACTGTCATTTTAGAACACACAGTATGAAAAGAAATCTAGAAAGTGACCAACAGTAGTTACCGCTTAAGGGGGGAGGGGGAGACAATAGGCTCTTTTTGCTTCAGTCTTACCCTTACCTATATTTTCCTAAATTTTCTATAGTGCACGTGTATTATTTTAAAACAGGAAGGTGAAGCCTATTTAAAAGTGCAATTAACACATAGACATCTGAGAACAGAAGTATTGTCTTGGCAATGGCCCCTACAGCAGACTTTTCTCTTAAAAAAATGCATACCTCTTCCATTGACTGTTCTTTCTATCTTGGAACACCTTTTCTTACATCCAAACAGTTCAAGACTCAGATTTAAATTTTAAAGCCTCTTAATTAGGTCAGAGACTCTCCTGCTAAGCATGTGCTCCAGGTCACTGAAAGCCCACCTCACTGGGACAGGGGCCAGTCTGCCAGGGCCGGACCAGTTCTTTCACAGGAAAACACGATGTAGAGGTGAAAGGGCAATCTGACCTACCAATCCTTCCAAAACCTGTCCAGGATTTGGATCCTCAGACATTCCAGGTTTCTTTCCGACTCCAGCAGCCATTACCCCGAGAGCCAGCAGAAAGCGTGAGGAGTGGGTCTGCCAGGTCCTGGCCCCACCTCCTTCCTCTTGTCACACCTTCTTGGAAGCCCATACACAGTGTAACTTAGGTCTGTACACCTTAAAACATGGAATCAGTGCTTCTCCCAACTCAGCCTCTCCTCTGCAGGGCTGTCCAAGATCCCTCACTCCTGGCAGCACCATTGATGTTTTTCTGTGCCATGTGGGACTCTGAGCCACTCAGCTCCTCCATAGATAGAACGCCCTTCTCACATCCTTCATCCTGTCAATCTCTTATCCAGGAGGGACTGCTCACCTCCCTGACTGCCCTCCTTAACCACTTCTTCCACTCAGTTTAGGGATTCTTCAAATTCATAAGGCGCAAGCCAGAGTTCAAGACCAGTCTGGGCAACATGGCAAAACCCTGTCTCTACAAAAAAATACAAAAATTAGCTGGGTGTGGTGACATACACCTGTAGTCCCAGCTGCTCAAGAGGCTGAGAGGGAAGGATCCCCTGAGCTGCCTTCTTTAACCTCTTCTTCCACTCAGTCTAGGGACTCTACATAGTCACAAGGCACAAGACTCTCCTCATGCCTTGTATAAGAGACAAGAAAAACCAAACAGTTTTTACCACTGTCATACACTCAGCACAAGGTATTTCACCTCTGATAACCAAAATGTATGTGGGGTTTTCCCCACACGTCAAGCAATTCTCCAGAAGACACCAACCAGGTGTCCTACAATTTAACTCAATTCTGACACTCTTTACCTGGAGATGGAGTCAGACCCTACAGGTGAAGAGCTCAGTTCCACAAGGCTGTCTCCCTCTCCAGATGCCAGTTGCCAGCCCTATGTTGTATTCCCTGTACTTCTGACCAACCAGCAGACCTCGAGAGTTCCCAAGACTCCTTCCTCACATTGGATTTGCTAGGACAGATCACAGAACGCAGGGAAACGAGGCTGTCTGTCAGGTTTGTCCCCCTTCGTACATGTCTGCTTTCCCTGTGACCTCCAGCACCACATCATGACGCAGCACGACGGCCTCACCAGAAGCTAGCACCACGCCCTTGAACTTCTCAGCTCGCAGAACCATAAGCTTAAACAAAAATTACAACTAAAATGAAAAGAAACCTCTTTTCTATATGTATACATATTTTTTCTTCATATTCTAAAAAACCTTAAGTGAAATAATTTACTTACATTTACCTCTTTGTTATAAAGTATATTGCGAAGGACACAGATAAGCAGCTAGATGAAGTAACACACAGTGCAAGGTACCTGCAAAGGGGCACAGAGCTTCCACAGCCCCTCCTGAGGGGCCACGCCCCCAAGAACCTCCATGTGTTCAGCAGTCCGGAAGCTCTCAAACCCTGTCCTTTTGGGTCTTTATGGCAGCTTCGTTACATAGGCATGATTGATTATTGGCCATGGGTGATCAAATCAACTTCAGTCCTTCTCTCCCCCTTGGCAGAGGTCAAGGTTGAGGAGAGAAGACGGCAAGTTCCAACCCTCTAATCACACGGTTGGTTCCTCCGGCAACCAGCTTCTATCCGGAGGCGATCCAGGTCCTTCCACCCCCACCCCAACACACACATAGGCCAGCCATCAGGATAGCATGCAAATACACATCACTTTGGAGATTCCAAGGATTTTAGGAGCTGTGTGCCAGGAACCAGGAGCATAAACCAAATGCATACATGTCTTATTATGTCATAATATTACGCCATGTAACCTTTTCAGGCATGAAGCCTAGCCTATGTTAATAGGTGTCTCAGGCCAAGCCACTCAAGTTGGGAAGACAAACAGAACATCACCTGTGGTCTGTAGGATGCTGGAGGGCCTTTCTCAAAGCCCAGAGCTTGCAGTGTTTAGATAAATGTGAATCCTTCGTGGATTTTGTGTGGGCTGCCTGACCACTCAGGCCTCTATGTGCTGTGCTGAGGAAAGCCAGTGTCCTCTCTGCACTTCAGGTAGCCAGGCTAATATACGGTGGAGCTGGTATCAGCATCAGGGTTTCCTGGCTGACTTCTCTGCATTTGGCATCTCACAACCACCAATCACACCACATTCCCAGAGGAGCTCTCACCATGGCAGATGTACTGGCCCCATCCAGGACTCTTGATGACACTGTCCTCTCTGGAAATACTTTATACCAAATACAGCTATTACCAATTGTGATTGTAAAAGAAAAAAAAAATAAGGGAAAAACCTCTAGATCCTGGCAAGTTTCCTTTAGCATGCTGTGTGGAGCGGAACCAACTCCCCCAGCCCAAGCGACATTGATAAGAGCTGGGCTGTTCATACCTGTTACAGGAGTTTCCGCCTGAAGCAAATTATTATTACCAGGTTATAAACCCTTAAAAGAATTCCTTAATGGAAAAGCTAACAGCTCATTAACTATAATGAGTGTCATCATATAGGACACGTTCCAGCGGAGGGAAGGCAACCGCGTTAACTCGGTCTTTCCGCAGCACCCGGGCTCATGACACGGATGGTCAACACCGCACAGTGAGACCCTCCCGAGAGGACCAACCGCTCTGCAGTTGTATGTGACTCTTCTGGTCCCTGCATCAGTCCCGGAGAAACCCAGTTTATTTACAGGACCTGCCTTGCACCTTGAGAGAATGCAACACATCTGGGGGATACCTTACAAAGAGGGGAAGTCAGCCACCGCCATCAGCAGACGTGAGACCATTAGCCTCACACACCAGGCTGCAAGGCAGGGCCTGTTATCACAAACAAGCTGTTTGCTCACAGTTTGAATCTATTTCTAGAGACTGTTTACCTAAATGAAATTACTTATCCACTGGGGCAGGGTTCAAAGCTCAAAAGATAAGTGCAATCGGCTACTGAAAAGATGCAAGCTTGGGAAAATGAGGGGGAAAGAACAAAGTCAGATTAATCCCGGGGGTGGGGGGAGTCTCAATGCCATAAAAATTACATGGCATTCCTTTAGACCATCAATTAATTTTAATTCCAAAAGTTCAAAGCCACTATTTAAAGGAACTAATTAATAGCTAATATTCTCCCCAGAGTGAGCTAGTCTGGTTTACAAGAGCAAAGGCATTGATGGGCTGAACGTTCCTTCTCTCACTGATCATTACAGGTAACGCTAGCCTGAGTCCCTGGAGGACGGGTCTGGGAGTTCCCACGCACGGAATAATCATGACACTTACTAGTCCGTACTCAGACCCTTGCTAAATTTTAGTTACTCTGCCTCTGGGGATGGGGCTCACCGCAGTCACCCTTGAATGATGCTCTGTCGAAAAGTGGACCCTAACGTCGCAGGTACATCTTGCCCCACGTAAGTTCTAGTATTATTGTTCTTTATATAAGCTACTCTAGAGGAAAGTCCTTATTTGACTTTTTTTAACCTTAGGTGCAGAGTGTTGAGTTCATCATACTCCCACCTCCACTCATTGTCACTGGGCTAAACGCACGCCTTCTCTTCAATATTTTTTAAAGATCCTTTTGATCTTCCTACTCACTCCCATCCTCTCCTCTCACATATAGGCTGCCACCCTAAGGTGCTTAATGTTTATTTTGTTTGTTTGGATATCACTGTTTTGTGTTCATGTATTTTTCTTTATGCTCAAAATCCTCTTACCCAAGTATTACTTTTATTCATGTTATAGTCTGGTTCCTGTCCATCTGCGTTTTTGCTGTTTACGCATTGTAAGTAATATCCATAATAGAATACTTGTGTCCTGATTTTCAACATTTCTATAATGAGCTTTTATTTTCTTTAGTCTTTGATAGTCTTTTTTTCTTATCTCCCTGCACCCCCAGCAGGTGACCACTGCTAACAGCATGGGCAGGGTCTATCTCTCCACATGTGTCTCCAGGATCACTCAGTTCTTTAAACTGGTGGTTACACGGGTGTGTGTGTGTGTGTGTGTGTGTGTGTGTGTGTGTGTGAGAGAGAGAGAGAGAGAGAGAGAGAGACAGAGAGACAGAGAGAGAGAGGGAGAGAGAGGAGGGAGGGAGAGAGAGGAGAGATATTTGGTTTACTGAACTGGATTCATAATCCTTATCTCTGTGGTTTGCTATTCTCATCTAAGAATATGATACGATTGTCCTTCCAGGGCAGTAGGTCCTGATCTCTGGTGTTCTTTTTTAATAGCTGTCTAGTAATTCGTGGAATAGGTGGATGTTCATTTGTTTACCCAACCATTCCCTTACTCACGGCATTTGGGTCGCGCTCAGTTTTTCATCACTACAAACACAGCCGCATATTTATGCACATGAATCCATAAGTACCGGTGCTTTCACATCTAGTGTGCAAGTATTTTTTGCTAATATAAATGGTATTGAGTTAAATATCGCTTTG